AGGACCTGGCTTATAATGACTGGGTGTTAAATGAAATTGAGTGTCAGATTCTGTGTAAACCCCCCCATCTAAAACCCATGTACTCTCATGATGGTAACATTTGCATATCATAGGGCAATGAAACGCTTGGAAGAGGCCCGTCTCCATAAAGAGATTCCTGAAACAACTAGGACTTCCCAGATGCAAGAGCTGCACAAATCTCTCCGGGTAAGATGCTGTCGGCAGTTGTTCAATATCCTAAAGGTTCTTATATGTTTATTAGAATTTCCCTTTTGGCCCACCTCTAGGAGGGTAAAGGCAGCTAGATTTATTCCTCCCTGCTTACACTGTTGCCATCTGTTTAGATGGCAGGAACCTACTGTACTTTGTGCTCAGCAGAGGCCTGTGGTTCTGCTCTTGAATTCTTCCCTTTAGGATGTCACAGCGGTACTGTAGATCTCTCCGTGGTTTTCTTCTTTATATTTAGCTGACATTGGGGCTAGTGATACTAAGACTGTAGAAGACGGTGTGCTGCAGTTTCAGATATGCCTTGACCCATTCATTCATCCATATAAGTATTTCCTAGCCCCCCAAAAAAAAAAGTATAAAAGAATCTTGGGTTGTATTAAAACTGTGAAGTTGCTTTGTTATAGTGAAAAAGCCAACTCCTGGGTTAGCCTATTAATGATTGTTGTATGTTGTGTGTTTTTTTAAGTCTTTGAATAATTTCTGCAGTCAGATTGGGGATGATCGGCCTATCTCCTACTGTCACTTTAGTCCCAATTCCAAAATGCTGGCTACAGCCTGTTGGTAAGTTATGTTTTACAGTGACTTTTTTTCTTCCTAAATAAGGAATAGGTTCAGGAAAAAAGTTAGCATGTCTTAGATGTCTATTTCTATGTTATCCTCTTGCTCTGCTTCTCTTGATCACACCAGACTAGAGATGCTACTGCTCTAACAATGTGTTATACAGTAAAGCCTTTGTGAATGGTCCTTAGTGTTCACAGGGGACCCCAGAGATCATGACATGTAGCAGTATGTTCTTGACACTAGTATTTTGGAGCGTGTCATGGAGTGAGCTATCTTTATTTTATTTTCTACTTACCACCATGTTTGCATAAAACTCTTAGGATGTGATAACTTATTTTGTTCTATTTAGTTATTTTTGTGGGACGTGGCCCACTAGATATAAGAGGGGAAACTTCCTTACATTGTATGCACAGGAACTACTTGACTAGGCAGCAGTTGAGACCGTGGTTCAGGAGAAAGCCGAGGACCTACACAGATACCTCCAGCTCTCCAAGCCTCAGTTACCTTCATTATAAAGCAGAAGTTATCATTCCTATTTTACGTACCTCACAGGTCTGTTAATAAGGATCATTTGAGAAATTGGTGGGAAATTTCCTGAAAAAAGTCTTTTCAAACATTTTTTTAAAAGAAGTCTAAAGAAAGTTACGTATTTTGTAAGCAGCAAAATGCCATTCATATTTAAGGAGATAGTATCTTTATTAATGCTATTATTATTAGATAATTTAATTTGTCCTACTTTCCTTCACAAATTGACCCAAAAGTTAAGGAGAATAGCAACTTGTATGTATTAATTTTAGTCCAGTAGAAGCTTCTAGTTGCATGAGAACTAAATCTAGCTTTCTTCTATAACACTTCAAATAATAAGCCTTTTATTCTCTCTCTGTCTGCCACTGTAAAGTTTAATGGGGGTGAAAAGAGATTGTAATGTTACCAAGGTACCTTTTCCTTCCCAGACCACCCCTGGCTGAGATGCTTTCCTTTGTATTTGATAGGAGTGGGCTTTGCAAGCTCTGGTCTGTTCCTGATTGCAACCTCCTTCACACTCTTCGAGGTGAGTTAGAATGTTGTTTAAATTTGTGTGCTTTTCACATTTTTTGTGTTTTGCTTTTATTAATGTGCTTTAAATATTAGTTTAAATTGTTTATTTTTAAAATATTTCAATTGTTATTTTAATACTCTATATGTCTTTATTTCCCTAATATATACCTGTTTTATTCATCATAGTCTGTATTTGCACATAAGTTATAAGAGGGTAGGAACCCTTTAACTTTCATCTCTTACCCTCCTTCAGGCCATAACACAAATGTAGGAGCGATTGTATTCCATCCGAAATCCACTGTTTCCTTGGACCAAAAAGATGTCAATTTGGCCTCTTGTGCTGCTGATGGTTCTGTGAAACTTTGGAGCCTTGACAGGTGAATATTACTATTCTCTCTATACTCAAATCACTGAAATAAATAGTTAATTGGTTGGCTCTTGGAACCCGAAAATCTGATGTTTAACCCAGAGTACTCTAGGAGTCAAGGAAACTTGTTATGAAAATAGAATAGAGCCCAGCTGGTGTGGCTCAGTGGTTGAGCATCAACCTATGAACCAGGAGGTCACGGTTCAGTTCCCAGTCAGGGCACATGACCGGGTTGCATGCTCAGTCCCCAGTATTGGGCGTGCAGGAGACAGCTTATCAATGATTCTTTCTCATTGATGTTTCTATCTTTTCCTCTCCCTTCCTCCTCTGAAATAAAAATACATATTTAAAAAAAAATAGAGGTTTGTTTTTTTTTTTACACCTTTTCTCATCAGAGTTGTGTCAGGCTTTTTCTTGTCAACTTTAGAACTTGATTTTTTGCCTCTAACATAGTGGCCACTTTTTCCTGGCTCCATTACTCTGGAAAGATCCATTTTACTTCCTGTGCAATATATATTCGTTGAAGAAAGGCAGTGTTTGGTAGATTGACTAAAGATAACATTCTGACAGCATGTTGGTTCTTAGCAAACAGCCACAGGGGAGGGGAAAGTGAGGTTCTGTCTGGCAGTATTGCTAAGGAAGGGATGTCTTCCTTCCAGTAGCATCATCCTTTACCTAGACCAGTGGTCGGCAAACTCGTTAGTCAACAGAGCCAAATATCAACAGTACGACGATTGAAATTTCTTTTGAGAGCCAAATTTTTTAAACTTAAACTATATAGGTAGGTACATTGTTATTAACTTAATTAGGGTACTCCTAAGGCTTAGGAAGAACCACACTCAAGGGGCCAAAGAGCCACATGTGGCTCACAAGCCGCAGTTTGCCGATCACGGGTATAAGATAACGGGTCCAGGTTCATTATTTTGCATGTGGCTCTCCAATGTTCTCAACACCATTTGTTAAAGAGACTCTTCTTTCCACATTGCATATTCTTGGTTTCTTTGTCAGAAATTAATTGTGTGTGGTTATTTCTGGGCTGTCTATTCTGTTTCA